ATTGGCCTTGTTACAAACGGAGGGATTCTTGATCTTGGCGCAGACGGGCACGAACTGGTCCCATCCGATCCCGACGCCGAGCTCTTTTGCTCGGAGGTGGTTCCGCCAGTAACCTTTGATCTCGGGCTCGGGGGGATCGTTTCATCCGGGCCCTCGAGAAGTGGCAAAAAGGAACAGAGTCCGGTGGAGCTGCAAATGATGCCCGAGGATCCCTCGGCAGTGCTAAATATGGGCACGCTGTCCACCGAAATGAATTTCAACATGAAGCTCCACGAGAAGGGAGTACTAGAGAATGTGGTCGTAAGTGGTACAACCGCCAAGGGCTCTTCCTCGTCATCAGCGACTAGTGGGAAGAAGAAAAAAAAGGATAAGCAGTTTCTTCCCCTGGTGGGCACCAGTCATTCGGCGAATTTGAAGAAGCAGCTACGTATCCATTGCAAATACGTCCTCTCGGTCGGGAAGATGGCAAGATTTTTCATGTTGATGCAGGAGCTGCAGGAGCAGCTGCTGGTCCTACCTACTGTAACCTTTACGTCGCCCTGTAAAAAGGCATCTGAGCGAAGAGCTCTACGACGTCTTTTGCACGGAGAAATGAACGAGCGAGCTGCATATGAGTAGGACGGTGGTAGTGCACAGCGACACCACAGGTACCGGCTCGTGCTGAAAATTTTAATGCTTTGCTCTGTCCTTTGTTTTCGCTCGCGATCTTGCGTCAGGTCTATGCACGCGACCCGCGCGTATTTGGCATGCATACCGCGATCGCGCGACGAGGACCCGGATGACGAGCACGACAATCAGCTCGTGGACGCCAGTATCCTGTGCAAACCGTTATCGTACGAGCATGAAATGCAATACAGCTTGACAAGTCCATTTTCAAACAAAGCAGAACCAGCATGATGAGTTGATGCATGTCGACATGAGGAAAAATTTGAAATTTGCAATGTATGCTTACTCAGTTGTAGTGCGATCTCGTTTTGTAATGCATAGGTGCCAGCCCGGGGAGCCCGACAAAGAACAACTTCGAGCAGTTGACGCACGAGTATCCATTGCAAATATGTCTTGGTCTGGAAATGGTCTGGAAAAATGTTTGCATGACCCATGATGTCTGTGATGGATGCCCTAGCGTCACAGATTTCGTTAGGGAAGTTCAATTTGCGCTCTTGTGCCAGACCCAAACACTATATTTCAAGTGCATAGCGAGGAGCTGGCCGCGATGATTGAGCGGAACGAGCCGGGGCTGTTGGTAATCGATGTCCGCGGTCGGGACTTTTGCGGCGGCAACGTCCCGGGAGCCCGGAACATATATCAAATGCAAACTAAGTAATTATATCGATGATCTGGCTCACGCTCAGGAAAGTTGTTATGCTATCGTATCGTGTTGTTGTGAATAAGAACTGATAGGTAGTCGTAGTAGACAGCAGTACTAGTACACAGCGACGCACGGTAACTTTGCTATCGCCTGTAAGTATCATCATGCTTGAGCTTGCACGACATCTCTGTGCGTGAGGAATCGCGGCTTTGCATGACAAAGAAACCCCCGCGCGCTTGAGCAATGTGCGTTAAAGAACAACTCACAGGCTTTGTGTTGCGCACCATTAAAAGAAGTACTCAGTGTCAGTGCAACTAATCATGTGTTTCCAAAACTACGAGCAGACACATACACATTTGGATTTGCAATGCATAAGATGCGGACCCGAGCGATTCAGGACGATCCGGAGTCGCTCGTTGAGGAGCTGGTGAGGGACGGAGTGCAGGTACGTGCCTGTGCAGGGCATGTTTGATTTTGTGTACCTGCACCATGTAGCTCGGTGTAGATTAAACTATGTGCTACGCTTGTCTTGGTCGAGCCACAGATCGATGTTGACGCTTTGCAATTTTTTGTGTACTTAGTACTTGTGCTGTACTAATATGGAAGATGTTCATAAAGTTTATAAGCATGTAGTAGGAACTTAACATTCAACTACAGCACGTGGTCTTCACATGCATGTACTCGGTGCTTCGCGCGATCACCGTCGCCGGCTGCCTATCCCAGTGCGAGCTCATGCACAAGCAGAGCTTCAAAATGTCTATTCTGAACTATGAGAGTGCACAACTCGTCCCGCTGCCGCTTGCTCTCATTCGCAAGGCATTCATAGGAGCAGAAAAGAAGGTAACGTAAACGGCATTTGCATTGCAATAAACCTTTACGCGCAGTAGACTGTAGTAATCTGGTAACCAAATGCGTGCGTGCGCGCGCGCGCGCAGAGCGCGCGCCGGCCCACGAAGCCGGCGCGCGCGCTCTGCGCGCTTGCGATATTGCTTAGCAAACGCAGCGCGAAGGCAGTTGCCGTTACCATATAGGGCAACCGCCGGGAGGCGTGAAGGTC